CTGGAAGAGAGCCAATCAGTCATACACGTCCATTGAGCCATTGCATGGCCAACTTGCATGTCATTCCGGGATACACGTGCAAGGGGAAGTCCAAGTGTGTTTTCCAACAAGATATCAAGTCAAGATTGCGGATCAAGATTTGATTTCGTTATAATCCTATTTTTAGTTTTAAGTTTCAGTTTAAAATTTGAATTCCATTATAGACGTGTTTAGAAGGAAGGATATTTTGAGTCAAACTCTGATTCCTTTCTAGGTTTTATTTTAGGCATGTTTATCTTATTATTAGACGTGTTTATCTCATTAAGGGTAGATTAGGACTTTTACAATTTAAAACTCTTCATAAAAGTTTCGGCTATTTAAGGCTGAATTTCAAATAATGCAAAAGAGTTTTGATGTTTATTCATATTGTGAGATATTCTTCTTGAGTTCTTGAAGAAATTTTTCCAAACTTATCAAGGATTCCTTGTGGCGTTCAACTTCACTTATCAAACGGAATTTACCTACTCGTTTGTGGTGTCTTCACCATACCAAGGTTCTTGTTTTGCTAAGCAACGGGTTGCAGTTTCCATCAAACTTGAGAGATCTTGAGTCGTGTCCAGATTTGGTATCGAGTTTCTTCATGTTGTTGGCGTGGTTCGTATCAGTGGGGGGAAGTTATCTAAGGGAACCAGAGTTCTTAATCATGACTTTTAAATTTTAAATTTTTTATGAGGGAAAACACTGCAGCAGGACCAAAACTATATGTGTTTGCATTGTAGCAGAAACCACATACCAAATATACACCAAGTGTCATACTTTTTGTGGAATTTTTTTCTGCATTTTTAAAAGACTCCTCTTATATACGCAAAAATTTCAAAAGCGTACGAATTCTATTTGGTTTTTCATATTTTTATTACATTAAACGTAGTCAAATCTAAATCCTAAAGCTTCCAAAGAACTAGTAAATATCAAAACAAGCTCAGCATTAGAGACGAAGTTCGGTATAAATATAGAACAAGCTAAACATGAAGTACCTTGCGACGACCAAAGTAGCAACCATCCAGTTCAATTGACCCAAAGAAGTCCAACTTCAGGAGACAGCCTTTTAGCTTATCATAGTACAATCCTCTGATGGGAAAGGAGGGATCATAATTGAATGTCGCACAAATATCAGGATACCGAAACTGAAAACAAACAAGCGAATGGACATTTCATCATATACAACGCGGTTCATAAACTTTAACAGGCATAAAATGGATAGGCAAAAACGAACCTCATCAACCATATGTTTCTTTGCAAGATCGTATATCAAGGTCTGTAAATTGGGCGAGTAATGTGCTAATGTGTAGTCATAGTCGAAGCCGTAAACTTGAATATTGTCCAATCTCAGATTCTTGTTCACATAAATCCCTGATTTTAAACACTAACACTAATCAAGATAAAGAAAACTATGGTGCGTTTGGAATTTGTTTTAAAATGATTTTATTTTTTGTATGAAAATAGAAATGAAAATATTTTCAATCTTAGACAAAAATTATTTTTAAAAATGCGTCTAGTATCAAAAAATTATTTTTAGTATAAAAAAATTTATTAATGTCTCTCTCTGTGCTCAAAAGAAGAAAAAACGAAAACAAAAAATAAAAAATGACTTTTATTTCTCTCTTATTTTACACTAAACTAAAAATCATTTTCGTTTTCGTTTTTTACCTTTAATTGTGCCAAACATCGATTCCCTTCCGTTTTCATTTTTTATTTCTCAAAAAATGTGAAAAATAAAAACAAAACTAACTCTAAACACGGTCTATATTTCAAGCTCATCTGAAATGGAAAGAACGCAATGGCAAACCTTCAGGATTTATCTTCGGCATTTCCTTAAGCGCATCTGGAATCTTGAGGAAATTCTTCTTGGCAGCTTCATAATGACGACGAATCTTCCCTATTTCCTCTTCAAGAACCGCATTATCTCGTTCAGCAGAAGTATCAATCGCGCTATAACTCCTGTAACTTCCTCCGAAACCTAAAATTAATCAAAAAAATCACAAAAACGAACAAGAAATTCAATCAAAATCAAAGCTCACTTCAATACACATTTCATATTCATATCAAAACACAAAGAGCATACCTTCTCCGACTCCGGAAAACGAAACGCTCCTGCTTAACATCCTCTGAACCAGAGCAAACAATAAACAAAAAAAAAAAAGATTATAAAAAATGTCGGAGAATCAAAATCGAACAAGAATCACTACAACAAGAAGACATAAAAATATACATAATGAGAGAGGAGAAAGGAGGAGATACGTTAATGGAGGAGCGAAGAGGGAGAAGTCTGCGCAAGTACGCCATGGAATGGGAGGAAGGTTTCAGCTCTGCATTCGAAGCTAGGGTTTTTTCTGTTCGATTTTCTCTGGTTGAAGAGTCGACGATAGAGAAATTAAAATGGTCTGAAAGAGAAGAGAAGCGAGAAACTCAATTCCGAAAGTCGAGGACTTTGCTAGTTGCCGCTAGTAGCCGCCTTTTTGGTAATGCGCCTCGTGTTTGAAAATTAATATTTTATTTTTTATAATAAAAACAAAAGGAGAAAATGGAAAAATTGTCTTTTGATTGAGTCGGTTAGAATCGGAATGAAGAAAGAAAGAGAAGTTCGTTGAATAGAATGTTAGCTGAATTATGAAAAATGAAGTTGAAGTTGATTATTATTGTTATGGGGAAAAATTCGACCTCCACGTCAGCCATTAAATGATTGCCACATGGTATAATTAGGTTTCGTTCACTTCGCTGATTCGAGTTTAGAATTCGAGTTGAGATGTGACTTTATGTGAGAGTTTTTTACTGTAGCAAAAAAGTTAGATGTAATTATTTGTGAGAGCTTTTTTCTGTAAAAAAACTCGAATTCTAAACTCGAATCAGCGAAGTGAACGAGCCCTTAATAATTGTGTTAGTTGTGCACAAAGAATCTTACTATTCAATGAACGCGGACTGTAAACACCAATTATAAATTAGGAATAGAACCTTAGGGGGACGATCGTACTGAGAAATATATGACAGTACGAAGTCGATCGCATCATCATTTGAAGACGGAGACCACTTCAAAGGACAACCAAGCGCCGACCATATCCACGTCAATAAAGATGTGACAGCTGCTCAGAAATTTGATAGGTATTTAATGCATGCAGAGTTAGTGGAGAAGCCGGTTGGGAAAATCAGACAGACTGACCAAAATCTCGATCATCAAAAGTCATTGTTCTAAGAGTTGGTAAAGCAATCTCAGATTGTGATTAGAATTTTGACAAGGATAATATGATGTATAAATATGGGGAGAATAGTTCAGAACGACTCTCTCTGGACTCTTTCTCTCTCATTGTAATATTTCTTCAGAACTTAGTGAAACTCTCTCTCACAATGGATGTAGCCTTTAAATTTTAAGAGTGAACCACTATAAATTCTTGTGTTGATCTTCTCTTAATTTTCTTTAATCACGTTTGATCCGCACACAAACGACCATAACTCTGTTATTAATCTGTTGACGAATTTTCATCGTCAACATAATGTTAAAAATCAGTTATTCTTTTTAAAGTGCGTAATGGACAATTTGAACAAGATAATGAACTTGATATACACGAGTGCCCTGTAAGGACAACATTAGGTAAGATAATTTTAGGGTAAATGGATTAGAATGCATAGAAAAGGATCAGATTAAATTTTAGTTTAATCCAATTTTATGTTTGGTGTTTTGTTATTAGAATAAGGGCGTTTTTGTAAAAACAATTTAAAAATTAAGAATCATTTGTAATTTTTTAAAACTTGAGGGATAAAAATATAAATTTTCTAAAATCTTTGTCATAGAAAAACTACATTTTGACCCCTCCACTTTTAAAAAATTACAATTAGGCCCTAAATTTTATAGAAAATTTACAACTATGTCCCTAATATTTTTCACAATGTACTCTAGTTAAAAGTTATCTCATGCTTCAGCACTTAAAGGGGATAACAACATCCCCTTCTAAGGGGATTTAAGCATGGATTAGACAAAAGCTTATCTAATCTAGTCCTTTAAAAATGTTCACCAAATACAGTATTAAAATGTAATCTTATTCAAGCCTCTCTTATCTTGTGCATTAAACGGGCTCAAGAGGTTTATTTTGTCCCTTCTGTGGCTTTGTCCTTGTGTAAGAGTAGTGCTAAATACAAAAGAGAAGATTTTCTTCAGAATAATCATAAAAGGTGATATTTAACTTGTGGAACTGAAAAAATAAACTTAAGATATATGAGCCCTATGAGAAAATTATTAAACTTCTCTTTAAAAATGTATGGGTCTAAATTTGTATAATTTACTCTTAATTAATATTTTTTATAGATAAAAATAGTATTAATCAAGAATAAATAATAAAAATCATGACTCGTGAAATTTAAGGTGATATTTGACTCCTTTTTTCTTAAAATTATTTTAGGCTATGGACTTAATATTTATTAACCTTGTTTAAAATTAAAATTAAGGTGACATGCTTCTGTTGGATCTTTAAATCCATATTTCACATTCCAGAAATCATCACACTAAATTACTAAGAAAATAAGTTAGAACAAATACCTGTCTTCATTGGTGCAGCCTTAATCTCCAGTAGAATTCTCTAAGACAACGAGCACGACGGTTATTGCCATCCTCAGTCAAATCTCCTTAGTTCCTTAATGAGGTGTTTTCTCTCTAGATGGGGAAGAATGAAAACATTTAACGTATTAGGGACCATAACTTAAGTTTCTTTATATACTGCCCCATTAGGTTCCCATTAAACCTAATTGAGTCAATATGAGTATCCACTCATTCAACCCATACCGTGTTAAGTGACTATTTGAACTTTTTATAATTAAATCACTTAATTAACTTAATTAATTAAATAACTTAATATAATTATTATAATATGTGACCCCAAATAATTATTAGGAAATATAATTTCCTAACAGCTTCGTCTTTCGTCTTTCGTCTTTCGATATTAGTAGTTGTGGTTCAATGCGGAAATTTCTTAGCGTGTGGGATAGCTAAGTTCATGTAATAGAGGGTAACCATAGTCTGTCGCCAGTGGCGGAGGGGGGCATATGTCCTCCCCTCCCCCTGGATTTTTGTTACTTTATTTTTCACATATATTTTTTCAAATTTTTTTCATATAAGACCCTTTATATTAGTAAAAATTTCAATATCTCTCCACAAAATTTAATCTCAATTTTTTCTCTCTCTTATTGTTCTTTTAGTCTTTTTCTATTTAAATCTTATATTTTTAAATGTATCTAATTGAATTTTTTTTTTAATTCACTCCTTTGAAAACATTTTTAATTTAAAATTAGCCCCTTCTAAAATATGTTCTCATATAATCTTTATTATATCAAAATTGAGCCTCATAAAAAAAGTTTACGATCCATTTAAATAATTTGTCAAATGTGCTCCTAGTTAAGGATTTTTTTATTATTATTATTTTTATTTTACAAACAACACTCTCAATTACTATTCTCTCATAAACACATTTTCTCTATTTTGTCCTTGTTGAAGTTGTTTTTTTCTTTCTTCAAATGAGTCCCCACATACTTAAACAAATTCTCTCATATGTATTATGCATTTCCTAAATGATTTTTAATCTAATTTACCTGCTAAAATCTTTATTACTCAAATATGTTCTACTTATCTATGCATGTATAATATTCATCTAAAAACATATTTTAATTTAAATGTGCATTTCAATCCATTTTAGTTAAATATATTCTTTAAACTAAACTAAACTCTTTAGAGTAATAAATTCAATCAAGAAAAGACTCAAGCTTTTCAAAATTTTGAATTCACTCCAAAAGTTCAATAAACTAATCAATATGCACATGCATAACATGTTTAAAATTATGTTAGTGTTTTTAATATTTTTAACATTTTTAGTTTGTGCCCCTAAATTGAAGTCCTGACTCCGCCACTGCCACTCGCTCCTCCCCACTTTTGTTAACAAAAGAAAAAAAATCTGGTAAAATTAAGACCAATGCAGCTATAATATCACAAGTTTTTAGCACTTAACTTTTTATGGTTTAATATTTTGGCTGGCCCTTAAACTTCTTTCTCAATAATTGAATTCTTAAAATTATAAGATTGCTGCAAATGGACTGCAATTAGTTACGAATTTTAAGCTTTAGACAAAGTAACAATAACTTTTTGCACCTATCCTAAACTTCTCGTATTTTGGCCTTTTAATACCTGTACAATTAACTTATTAGTAATTTAGTTCTTGAATTGATCGTATAATTCTATAAATTTTAACTCTCCTTGAATATTATTTGGCATGTTTACTTGTGTGTGATCAAAGGGGACATAAATTAGAATTGGTAAGATTTAGAATACGAATAAGTTATTTACTTGGGTTACAAAAATTATTGTAAATCGCATTCATGTGTGATTCAAAAAGAATTATAGTACATTTACTTGTATATCGTTTTCAGTAAATTCAATATCTCAATAATACTTTAATAATTATTACAATATTAAGACAAAAAAAACAATAAATATTTATTGAAATTATATTCTTTTCCAAAATAAAAAAGATAAAAAGGAAAAAAAATACCTAAAACACCCATTGTGTTTATAAAAACAAGCCCAAAACACCCTCTGAAGCAGTTAAATTTTTTAAAAAGCCATGATTAACTTTTCCAATTTATATTAAATGTTATTTTAGATATGATTTAACTAAAAAGTTATATGAAAAATTTTTAAAAATGTAAAATAAATATTCCAATCAAAGAAAATTTTTAATTATTTTGAGAGTCTTTCACTCTTAACATTGATGTTATTTAATATTTTGGTTTAATAATGTTTTAGATTGTATTTATTAAAGACTAAGAAGGGTAATCCTAGTATTTTAAAAAAAATTAATTGCTTCAGGTGTGTTTTGAGTTTGTTTTCATAAACACAGGGAGTGTTTTAAGTATTTGTATAATTACAAGGTAAAAATAATATTTTAACAAAATATAGGGGGTGGTTGGATATTATGTCAAAATGTGAAAGAATTTATTTAGCTCCAATAAATACTCAAGATTTCTTGAAAATAATTTTATAAAAAATTAAATTGAAATAAATTTGTAAACTATAAAATTAGTTATAAATCATGAAATAAAAATATATCACAATCATAATCCAAACTACCAACATAAGTTAATACTTAATAGTTGGCTAATGTAATACTTACACCTACATCTCTTCTTGAGTTGATCAGAGATGTTAAGAACACACAAAACAAATCATGCTTTCGTACCCAAATGTTGGTAGCATCATATACTTGATCAACATCTAAAAGTGGCGTTATTGGTGTCTGGTGTCGAGGAGAGGAAGAAAGAACATAGAAAAAAGAAATAGTAACGCAAAAAATCGTGCCAATCCCTATGAAATTTGAAAGTAAAATTTGGAAAAGCCAATCGAAAAATGTTTAAGGACACAGACGGTGTTAAGCACTTCCATATAGATGGTTTCCTCAAGATAGCCATTTAAAAAAGTTGTCTTGACAT